AGAGAGAGAGAGAGAAACATTGCAAGTTTTCATGGTCTTACATGTCTGGACCATAGTCTATGATTAAAAGCAGAAAGAGAAGCATAGAATTGGAAATGAGGAGAGAATGAGGAAACCAAACCTTCACAAGAATAACTGGTTAGAATCGAAGAATAAAATAAATGATAATCAAGAAGCCATATAACCTTGAAATCATAATTCATAAGTACCACAGGAAGACAGGAAACTGTGGTAAGAAAGACATCTCATTCATTTAGGAGAGAAATCCTTTCTACAAAGTTACACGAAGGGTTAATAGCCCTATTGGGTAATAACTGCAACAACTTTACATTAAAAACATACATACGAAATTCCAAAATGTTCCTAAAGGCTAAGGTAGATAGCACTAACACCTGAAACTATTAGAAGTTTCCATCTTTTGAGAAATAATCAACTTTATAGCACGCCCCAACATCTACTTGAAGGCCTTCACCACAGAAATTTGCGGGAGTTAAACGCCCCAACAACTTTATAGGTTTGAGTTTCAGTTTCCTCATTTCATTAACATTCTGATGTGCAATGATATCCGAAAATCTATAGAGGTCTAGAAGGTTGCTTGGTTACTTCTTATAAGCTCCATACTCTTGATTAAGGCACATCCCCAATAAACTTCTACGATAGCCATACAAACTGTGGAATCTTCAAACCAGACGACAAAATTGAAAGAAAATGAACAACAAATACTGCCAAATTGTCTTCAAACACTCTCAAAGGGAAACCAATGCAGCAGAATCTGCTCTAGTAAAAGATGGCACAATGCCCAGATTGTGATTCATGCATGATACACTTGGGTGTTTTCATTTTTTTTCTATTTTATTAATTTTTATGATTGAAATTACGTTTTTAGTTTTCTTTTTTTGTAATTTTTTCTTTTTGTTGTAGAGAATTTAGGGGTATAGTTGGAAGGAAATAATAAATAAATCAAGTGCTAGGATTTAATTGTGCTTGGGTTTCTTAAGGAGCAAGTATGTTTTAGGGTGCCTTTCTTCTATAAACATGTAAATGGCGGATAAGAAAAAGATAGATAGAGATGAAGAATTTGTTTTGAGTCTTGTGAAAATATTCTTGAGATGGACTCCCTTGCAGACCCTGAAAGAAGGTATAATCTCATCCTTAAATTTTCTATTTTTTATTTATTTTAATTTTGTTTGTTTTCTCCCTACATCAATTGCTATTAGAGCTTGAAGATCCATCTACCATAATGCCCTGAAGTCCACTTTTGTGATTAAGGGTATACTACCGCTTACCATGACGTTTGTGAACCAACAAATCAAAGAGGGTGCAAACCAGCAAATCAAAGAGAGCAAAAATAAAGCCATGAAAGATATACAAGGAAAGAATGATGAAATAAATGAACGGTTGCGAAGATTAGAAGATATCAATCACTGAGAAGAAAGTACTCATAAGAGTGGATATGACACCAAATCTCAACCTTGTGGATCAAATGAAGAAGAAGTTCACATATATTGGATATTATGAAAAGGTAAATCTCAAAGAAAAAGATGTGGACAACAATCCAAAAGCACTAAAAATCTCAATAATCAATTATGAGAAGAAGAAAAGCTAGTTGTGGCATGTAAAATACAATCTTTTGAGCTTGAAGGAGAAATGGAGATTATGTTTGGCATCCCAGAGTTCCATTACAAGCAGCACACGAAGCATTTGATTAATTTACTAATTGAAGTGAAGAAGGTGGCTAGGCAAATGGTGGGAATCCATCACCAAAGGGATTGATGCAATTAGGGCTTTTCATTGTCTATTTTATTGTTTTATAAGAGATTGAAATTAGGTTTGGGGTTATTTAGGATTTTAGTTTTCGTTTATGCTACGTATGTTCTCTTTGTTGTAGAGAATTTAGGGTTGTAGTTGGAACATAAATACTAAGTAGATGACGTGCTAGGACTTAATGGTATTTAGGGTTTCTTAAGGAGCTAGTTAGTTTTAGGGTTCTATTATTTTATAAATATGTCAATATTGGAAAAGCAAAAGATAGAGAAGAATAATTTTTTTGGGTCTTGTGAAAAGATTTTTTTGTGGCGGACTCCACTGCGGACCCTAAGAAGGGCATGGTCCTTACCTTTTTTTTATTTTTTCTGATGTGTTTAATTTTCTTTCTCCCTCCTTCCTACATCAATATACCCCAGCAAGGGGCTTGAAGATCCCTTCCCTCTTTCTATATTCCAGTGCAAATACTTAGTTTTAACATCACATTTGTATAAAGAAAAGCGATATGTAATCTGTACATCTTTTATATTTTAATACAAACTAGCCAATTACCTCAAAAAAAATAAAAGTTTCAACCAAATTATCTATAATATAGGGATAAAATTTTCCACATCGGCATGCTAAATTGCAAACAGAATCTTATAAACCTATGGAAATGGAGCATTTCTTTTTAAATCAAGGCAGAAGCCATAGAAGCTGTGATCTCCTTCTAGAATGGCGCTTCCCTCCAGGACCTTGATTCAAGATTCAGGAATGGGAGAAAATGAAAATAACGGTTCTTGGAGCGAATGTCTTTTATGGAATAGGTGGTTCGATGCCTCTGCTACAACAGTGCTAAAAATTAACTTCACCGAATAGCAATCAAATGTATAGCACCCAATTGATGTCCATAGATATCACAAGAATATAGTGGATACACAAACAAACATATCAATATATACCAACACATAGAAGTGTGTTCAGTAGGTTTTCTATCATATGATAACATATTAATATACAGCTCATGAAACATGTGGGAAACGAAAAAAATGTAACAATTCATAATTCAGTACAAACACACAATGTTCAAAACGGCGTAGGCGGCCGCCTAAGCAGTTTGTGCTATGGGCCACCTAGGTGCTATGGCGGCCGCCTAGACCCAAAGGCGGCGTGTGTTGTCTTTTTTTTAAAAGTTGGATCCCCCACACCTACCCCCATTTTATTGTATATACTATATAATAGTAATTACAAATTAATACATTTTTTTTGTTTATCAATAAATTAATAATTACTATCACATGCAAAAAGAATTTTTGATAAATTAATAATTAATACTATTTTTTAGTTTACCAATAAATTAATAATTATTTTTACATGCAAAAATATAAATGGCATAAAAAGTATAATCCTTCTATATATTAATTAACACTGAATTAATAATATTTTTTGGTTTACCAGTAAATTAATAATTAAAAATTAATACTATTTTTTGGTTTACCAATAAATCAATAATTACTGTTACATGTAAAATGTATTTTCGATAAATTAATAATTACGAATTAATATCATTTTTTGGTTTACCAATAAATTAATAATTACTACCACATGCACAAAGCATTTTCGACAAATTAATAATTACGAATTAATACTATTTTTTTTGGTTTAACAATTAATAATTACTGTAACATGCAAAATGCATTTTCGATAAATTAATAATTACGAATTAATTCTATTTTTTGGTTTACCAATAAATTAATAATTATTACCACATGCACAAAGAATTTTCGACAAATTAATAATTACGAATTAATACTATTTTAATTAATACTATTTTTTTGGTTTAACAATTAATAATTACTGTTACATGCAAAAAACATTTTCAATAAATTAATAATTACAATATAATACCATTTTTTGGTTTAACAATAAATTCATAATTATTGTTACATGCAGAGCGACAAATAGCATAAAAAGTCTAATGCTTCCATATATTAATTCGAACTGAATTAATACTATATTTTGGTACAGGTCAAGGTGGCACCTAGGCGCCCCCCTTTTACACCACCTTGGTGGGTGCCTAGCCAAAGCCGCCTAGTCCACGATTAGGTGTTTTTCAAAAAATGCTGCCTAGGTGGCTGGGTGGCTGAATTTTCGTTCATTGGAAACACACAAACCACACAAATATATAAATACACACACACACACCCCGACATAAAATCTCTTGAGATTTGGTTGTTTCCATCTTCATGTGCAAATGGCCTCTAGACACTCCCGACTTTGAGGTTTTGTGAATCTTTTGCTTCCCCGTACCTAATAAGCATTCTACTCTCAAGTAGAAACTAAGTTGAGAAGGCAGAGTTTAGATACAAGGAACACTCATAAACCTCCGTCAAGAGTGAGGCAACATAGAACTCATTGAGAGGTCCAAGAACTGTCACAAAATATAGGTACAAATTGACAAATGTTTCTCCACCAACTATTTGTTGTTGATGCCTGAGTTTTTCAATTCCATTTCGATTTCTGTGAATTTAAAATAAGATGGAGATCCCTTTCACTAGTATTTCTTGCAGCCATCAGTCATCTAGAAGTGCCAATTCTGTCATATTGTTTCCCTCATAATACCAGGCAAAAGCTTTCCATTCTTCCAGAGGCTCACAGGTACCATTCTCTTGAGTCTTGGATACAGAAATTTCATTAATTTGTTGACATCAAAGCAACCATTACAATCAAGCAAATAAATAATGTAAAACCAAACTTCAGTATGCAAGAAATCTAACTTCCAGACAAATCTGAATCATCACAGGGTACCTTGAACCCAAATTGGAGGAGCCCTGGTGGCATTAGCAACAAGCAAGGACATAGCAATCTCTTCGCAGTTTCTGTAGAAGAATGAATCAACCGTAGTACATAAGAAATTTAACAACATAAAGTAACACCAAGAATAAGTTTGACCAGCTTGAAATTGACCTTTCACTAATTACATAATCATGAATGGACGAGGGCATCTTATGTGCGTATAGATCCAAGTACTTTTTGTGAAAGAATGCTGCTTTCGAAAGAACCATACTGTAGGTACCCATCCACCACACTGACCACCATCCACCATATTTGTAATATGTTGAACCATCTTTCTGCAGCATGAGAACAACCTAACCTCAGTTAAGTGTTGCAAATAAATTACTCAAAGCAAATAAACATGACAAAAACTTATTTCCATCTTTATCCAGGTAATACAGAAAGGAAAAGTTTTAGTATTGAACAGGTGATCCCCAACTGTGCAATTCTTACAGACAGCTGAGATGTTTTATGCATTTCCATTTGGTTCATTTTTTTATGCGAAATTTCATTCGTCCACAAAATTGAACGGCTGTTGACCAACTGCTCAATTCTGTCCATATTTATTTTCCATACTACAACACAACTTATGAATATGAACATATATGTGCAAAGAACCTATGATCCCTATTCAACGGTTCAGTCAGGATTTTTTACAATAGAGCACAAATACTTTCATGCAATGCCTGAATCTTAAGTGACCACATTTTCAATGTTTTAAAAAAGTAAAAATTAATTTAATTAGAAACAGCTCATATTGGACATGAAAATGATACATCGGGGGGACATCTAAGTGACCATATTGATGGCACTAGAGAGTAGAAATCCTCAGTAAGGAATTCCTGTACTACGCAATGAAACTTATGCTTTCCAACAGCCAAAATATGATCACATTCAGGCCCTTGGTTAAGTGATTGTAATATTAGATGCACAACAGAACATAACAAGACTGAAAACCAGACAAGCTACTCAGAAGGGCAACCAAAATATTAGAACCAGGGAAGTTTACTTGATGCAAATGGCATCCAATAGAGATGAATTCTGGAATAAGGACGTGTTTTGAGTTGCTTTGCTTTATATAGAACGACGTGCTGGAAAATTATCATGTTTGATAAGTGCCACCCTTTTTTTCTTGGTAAATCATTTCTTTTTTTTTTTGAAATTGTTAACTTGCTATTAAGGAACCACCTACAATATGGGGGTTCTAAACCAAAAAGAAAGGCTTACCCCAGGGGTAGGACGATGAGCCTGAGGCCCAAGTGATGCGTTTTGTGCATCTCCTTCAATAATCAGCGATTGGTGCCAACAAGGGTCGAAAAGTTTGAGGCCTTCAAGGATATCCATTGACTCAGCCAACTGGGAATCAGCATGGCCGATATGGCTGGAGTAGGATGCTAAAGTCAAGCCTTGGTGGTCCCTGTATAGGCTTCCGACACCTGCGGGCCTGGGGTTCCCTAGGGAACACCCGTCAAAGTTCAGCTTAGTGTGCCCAAAGGGAGGTGGCAGCCACAGGTTAGCCCGAGTTGGACAAGGAGCGCGGGCGTAGAGCATGGATTGCCAGTTGCGGAGGAAGATTGAGGAGGTAACCCTTGAACCTCTTGTGGTTGGAGGCCTAAAAGATGACCAAATAAGTGATTTTATTAAGGAGACCCGGCACCGAGCATTTCTCAACTCGAAAGATGCGGGAGTTCCTTTCGGTCCAGATGATCGAAACTGTGACTGCTATAGGGGCCTTCCACAGTGTCGTGCCAGCTTTAGGCCAAGGACAGACTTGAGACAAAGTGTAAAGGGCCAGAATGGGGGGAGGGGGTGACCCATGTCCAACCAAAGAGTCGAAGTAAGTAACCCCAAAGATCCTGGGCCACGGGACAAGAGAAAGAGGTGGGGGTTACTTTCTTCATCGGAGAGGCACGTGGTGCACCTGTTGGGGATGGGGATGCCTCTACATTGTAGGTGGTCAACCTTGAGGGCTTTTTCAGAAAAAGCAATCCAATTAAGAGCTTGAATTCTTGGAGGTGCAATGGAGGACTATGCCTGGGCCACAATTGATGGTGGTGAGTGGGGAAAGGTGGGTGGCAGCAGCAGGGTTCTGTAAAAGGATGCGACGGTGAAGGATCCCGTGGGTGATGGGATCCAAACAACTTGGTCAAGACCAAGGTCAGCATGGAAGGTGGAATGAAGGAGGGTTGAAAGATTGATGAAATCTTGAGACTCCGAGGCAGAAAGGAGTATGCTGAATGACAGGTTCCACCCTCTACTGTGACCCGAGAGGGGCATTTCCTCAGCCACCGAGGCATTTTGGGATAGAGAGAGGGAGAAGACAGAGGGGAAGGCGTCCCTTAGGGGATTATGGCCCAACCATAAGTCCAACCAAAAACGATGCAGGTTCCCTACCAAGGATGGAATCTAAATGAGGCGTTGGAAGAGGGTGAAGGAAGATAGAAAAGATTTCCATGCACCCAAAGGCCTACTTGTGGGTCTACCTGCTGGTAGCTAAGCAATGGGGTCAAGACGGTACTTACTGTGGATAACTTGGATCCAAAGAAGATTTTCTTGGGTGGCTAGATGCCACAACCATTTGCCCAGCAGGGCCGTGTTGTGTTTTCTCAGGTGCCGGATATCGAGACCTCCGAGGAGTTTCGGTTGACCAAACTTTCTCCCATGAGATGAGGTGGAATTTCTTCGAACTAGAATCACCCGCCCAAAGGAAATTCCTCAAGAGCTGTTCCAGATGGGAGGCCACTGCCACGTGCATGTGAAACAAGAACATGAGCTAGATGGGAGTGTTGGAGAGGGTTGCCCTGATGAGAGTGATTCTGCCAGCGAAAGAAAGGAAGCGACATTTCCATTCAGCAAGTCCACGATCCACCTTATCAATGATAGGGGACCATTGACGCTTCTTTGGTTTACCAAGACCTAGAGGCATGCCCAAATAAGAGGTGGGCAGATCCTTAATTTGGCAGGCCCATCCTGAGGCTAGGGAGAGCATCCTGGGTCTAATCAAAGCTACCTTGATAATTTTGGACTTATCCAAGGGGACCTTGAAACCCGTAGCAAACTCGAAGCACTCGAGGAAAATGCGAAGGGAATGCAATTCCTAGGGGGATTAAATTGGGTTTTCATGAAATGATGGAGGTAAAAGTGTAGAGCATGGAGTCAAATTAAGTTAATGAGCTTTTAAGTTCCCATGAGTCAATCGTGTGGAGTTCCTATGCATGGGGACTTGGACGCATGCATGAGAATTTGGATTCATGGATTGGAATTTGGGGGCATGAATATAGATTCATGATGACTAGGCTGTGTGGGAAATTGGAAAACTAGGATATTTTTTAGTCATTTCTCCTTTGTTGTAAGGGCATTTTGGTCATTTTTCCACCTAGGGTCGGGTGTGGGAGAACTCTATAAATACTTGATTTTGCTGTAACAAGAGTATTTGATGAATGAAAATTGTTTCCCCTTTCTCCCGCATTATGTAGTTAAAGTGTGGCCCCAACGTGATGTTGGCTATGTGGCCTTTTAAGGCCTTAAAGCTTAGAGTTTTACGCTTAGTGGAAGTTAGAGAGAGACTGAATCAGGGTGCTTGACGTACTGGGGCCCAAATTTATATACCCCGAGTATTTGAGGCAATGAGAGTATAAGTTTTGAGAGTGTGAACTCTCGGAGAGGTGTGAGGGTCACCTCCCAGTCAGGACTATATTGATTAGAATGCCTCATAGTTGATGTGATAAGCCAGGGCTTAGAGAATCCAATCGAGAATAATAGAACTCGAGTATTCACCCTGTATGGAATGGTCGGCTCATGGTACATGAGCCCGTATCCTGACACGAGACCGTTCCATGGCATATGCACCCACAGTCATATGGGGAAGCCACTTTTCTATAGTATTATCCAACTTAGAAGAGCTAGTGCACATGTGTTTTGAGAGGACCCCTGTATTTAAATAGGAACATGTCTCACAGGGGTGCACCAGTAATCCATTGAACCTCAGGTGATAGGAAGCTCTAGTGCAACGATTTTGATGTGACCAATTATGTGTCCCTGCCATGGACTGTGGAGCATAGATCCATTGGGTTAGCTTGAGACACTAGTGGAACGTCATTCGGGTTAACCCAATGGAAGACCCTGATTAGTGTTATAAGTCTAGAGATCTCATTTACCTTTGGCTCAAATTAATCTAAGATTGATGAGAAAAGATTTTATATTGATGAGAAATTGTGTAATACTGTTGAGAAATCATTTAGAGAATTTTTGGGATTTTTGAAGAATTTTTCAGATTGTTTTAAACAATAAAAAATGTGATTTTCAAATTTGTTTGACATAAATACCAAACAAGGACATCCTATGGGGATGCCACATGAATCCCAAGTGCCCATAGGGATGCCACGTGGCATCGTCACCTCCCCACTCGTGGATGACATCATGCTGACATCATATCCATGTGAGGACTTATTTGTCATTAATTCTTTTATTGGTATTATGTTATAACATGTTATTTTGTTATTTAAAGTGTTATTTATTGTTATGACTTAAGTTTCTTTTACGTCACATGTTTTTTTTGCTCTTGTGCCATTTTTGGCATGTGTGAAGTCATGGGATTTTGAAAATTAATTTAATTCATATTATTATCCACATATGATTTTGTAGCATGTGGGTATATCTTATGTGACACCACCTTAGGCTTGACCCATGTGAAACTTTAGTGCTGTTAAAATCCTATTGGTGATGTCATAAGATGTTTTATTCACATGTGTGGATGTCCCATATTACCTTTATGTCCATGTCCTTGTATTTTATTGACTCTCACAAATTATTCAAAAACCATGGGCATAAATGTAAACATGAATTTGTACTTAATGGGAAATAAAACATGGAGTTAATGGCTTCAAGGTAAAATGACTATAAACTTAGGTTTTAAGGAGTGAAGGGTATCAAAAGCTCATCAATTGATCTTGGTGATAAGATATGGATGAGTGGCTTGCATAAAAACCTCTCATGTGCCATTGATCTAAGGCATCAAGGATCAAGATCAAATCCATCTTTATGATCTAAATATAAAAGTAACTTATGAGATCATCTATAACCCTAACTTAAGTATTCACTTCAAAGAGAGAGAGAGAGAGCCCTTGACAAAAACGTGGCCACCCATGAGACTATCCTCTTCCTTGAAGTAGTCCCTCATTTATGTGATCAAGTCCATACTATTGCTTCATTAAGGTATTGATTTTTCTTCGTATATTTTAATTCCTACCTTATTTCCATTATCAAAGCTTGCTGTAATTCTTAATTTACAGTAGCT